CGCGACTGTTTTTGCCACCACTGCTATATAGGCTCGCACATACCTACACGTTCGACATCCTAGCTTTTTTTTTTTTTTTTTTCTTTTTGCTTTTTTTTCTTCTCCCTACCCCACCCCCTCCCCGCCCGTTACACGTATACATTACGTGTGCAATACCTCCTATATTATACCTTTCTATTACTTTTATTTTTCGCTTGTGCGACTCTTTTCTTCTTTTACCGGGGTTAACCGCGTATAATCGAGCAGTGGGGGGTTTGGGGAGGGGGGAGGGAGGGAGTATACAGAAGGTGCTGCGTGAATGCCATGGGGGAGGAACGACGCCATCGCCAGGTCTCCGGGGCATCGTGCGCTCCCTATCTCTGTACCTCACTGCCGTCGTCTTACCGCACGCCGCACGCCACCGCCTCACTTGCATTGCAGATGCAGTGCTATATAGTCTGCACGCCCCTCAAGATTTAGCTCGAGATTTAAACGGCCCTCGATTTCAATGGCACTCCTTCCCCTCTAGAGCTTTCGTTTTACGATGATGTGCGCACGTAGTTACATTACATACCTATACTTGTTGTTTGCCCACGTTGTTCTCTTTTCCCTCTACTTACCCTTTCGTCGATTTATTGCCCCCTTATTTTTACATTACTTTTACATCAATTCATTTTGGAAATTTTTGAATATCTCAAACACTTACCATTTGATCTATTATGCAGGTTATCATTTGATTTTACCTCAGCTAGACAATATTTTTCATATCAATACACTTACCTTCGGGGTAGCACGTGTTTCTTGCAAACATCCATGTTTTTGCGCTTCAAATTAAAAAAATTAATAATATCAAAAATATCAAATGAAGTCATGTACAATATCGTGTGTCATCAACTCTTTTTTTTTTCAAATGCTTATCAAGTAGCTACAGTAATGTTTACATAAACATTTCTATGATTAAAATAAGTGTACGAAGGTTGTGATAATTAATTTAACGTTCAGGATGAAATCGAAAGACAAAAAAAAAATGTATACAAATATTGGTTGTTTAAAAAAATGGAACTAAAAAGCACTAAATATTATAGAGTTAAGGAAACGCAGCGATTGAATAATTCAAATAGGACAATATTAGTACAATAACGTCAAGTTTTATTCATTTTTTCTGTACAAGTTTACGATGTCTTACTATTTTAAGTACTAAACTCTTCTCAATCCATACACATACAGTACGACGATATTAATTAATCACCAAGCAAAACTAATATTTACATTAAGTGAACCACACGACAGAACTATACCTTGTTTTGATTCATTCTAATTTTTTTGTTCACCTTGTTTTTTTTTTTTTTTTTTTTTTTTTCTTTTTTAATCGTTGATAGTTCGATACTTGAGTTTATTTTTTGGCTAATCGTACAAATAAATCCCCTCGGCATTTTGCACATTTTTTCCCCGTACATGGAGTTAGACGAGAGCTCGCGGCGCAGCTAATGAATAATGAATACAGTTTCCTCTTCTCCCTCCCTGGCTTAGAGGAAAAAAAAAAAAAAAAGAGGAGAGAGAGAAAAAGAGAATATTTAATTAAGACGGCGTAAAACCAAATTGAATTGTTGCACCGCAACGAGTGCGTGCACGCGTATGCAAAACGAAACAGCCAAAGAAGGTTTGCCTTTTTAATAAAAGGGGAAATCACGTGTGCACCGCAAGCGATAAATTTTAACCTGTTTTTCGCCTGTGCTTTTCTTTCCTTCTCCTACTTTTTTTTTAGAGTCAGCTCTCTNATTTTTCATAATTTTAAATCCGACCATACCAATATCTGTCTCTCTTTGTATTATATCATAAACGTAACAATCATAAGCAGCTCGATAAGCAGTGTATTATATGTAACAATGTATATATACATACTAGTGCGCGTACCTACACAATGACAGTGTATCATATACAAGTTTATATTTATATTTTATCTATACGTAGTATATAATATTATATGTACATACGGTGAGTCGAATTGATGCTTCTCCTCTAATCGTCGTCTTGATGCGTAACCCTATTAAGTACCTATGGGCATAAATCCGTGTGTTTATAGCGGCGACAGTCATTGTGGCCCCTTCATCTGAGCAATAGCTGAAGAAGCGTCAGCAGAAGTATCGAGAGGCCGCTCGACCGTAAGAGTCCCAGGCTCGCGGTCGTGCCTGCGTCACCGTGTTGCATGGCTGCCGGTTGTTCCCCTACAACAATAAAAAAAACACAACAATAATCATGCATCCACGACACGAAATAAAAGTACTTATAATACGAACACCACGAGCGAACGTTATCTCGGCTGCTCCCTCCCCTATAGTATGTATTTCAATGTAAACCAACGTTTATTGGAAGTGCAAAAAAGTTTAGTTTTTTTTTCTAAATTTTCTAAATATGCAATAAGTAGTGTCGATTTGAATTTTAAGTATAACCTGCAAATACATCCGACATATCCTATCTACCCAGCATATTGTTAATCTGGATACTATGAGGAAAAAACAAGGGTTGTTGGAGTGACAAAAATTGCCAATCACAGATTTAATTTTAATGATTTCACTCTATTCAAATCTTGCAGTGCCAATCGTCGAAGAAGAAAAAACAAATAAAGTTGATGTAAAAAATAAATAAAATAACAAAAAAACACGAAAAATACAAACGCACATACTTGATAACTGCACACAATAAATTACAGTCTCATCTTTTTCTTCTACTCTCGACTTTTGTTGCATGATATATAATATACGTATGTACATGTTATATTATTATATGCGAAATAATTTGTCAATTCGAGCTACAAATGTATCTGTACTATAATATATGCACATCTGTATATCACTACTCTCATCACACATAACTCTCTGAATCGGTATTTTAAGTGATCAGTTGGCACCTGGTATTATAATATTTATGAATATATATGCCAAATACAACAATTATGTATCGCTGGCTCGCTTTTCCTCCGCAATTCATAACAGTATACTAGCGCTCACGTATAAAGACATACATATTCCGTACGTTTCAATAATTTCTTCACCCTCTGTATTGTACAACATCGTATGTATAGCTTTTATCTTGAATTATATGAGTTTAAAAAAGGGGTGGAAGAAGATCTGAACCATTACACGCTGCACGAGTATAATTATCATCATCTTTGGGAATACACGTAGTAGGGGTATCTATCTATACAGGTGGGTATACATATATTATAGTTTTTATGCCTACATATTATCGAGTAGGTACACGGAACTCTGCTAAGAAACAATAAATCGACGAATATCTGATAAATACCCGCGCGTTGCATCACCATCAAAGTTCGAAATTCATCATGAAATGGCGCGTAAACGAGTTAGAGCGAACGTTGCGATGTGCAGCCGGGTGTATAATATACATATATACCTGCTAGAAAGTGCTGTCACGTACCGCTAGCCACGTGATCTATTCTAAGCTATTTAAAGTTGCAACGTGATTAGCAAAGTTCGACCTCTCAACTCAAAGCTGGAACCTAACCTTCCCTCCCTACCCTCCCCTTCCCCCTCTCTTCTCGTCTAGTCCCGCGAAGGTTGGTTGCGATTGGCACGGGTCATTGCGGATGAAAGTCGTACGCGGTTGCCGGTACTTTCAGCCCCATCTCGGATTATTCTTTTTAATTCATTGCCGTTGCCTAACGTATCATTTTGAGTACTCGCGACTTATCGAAACGAAAAATTTTATCTCTTGCCAAGGAAAGTTATCCCCATGGGCCAAAACCTTCAGCCTCTGCCACTGCCACGTAACACGCAAACCCATATGTGTATGATAGGTAGGTACACGTACAATAATAATAATAATAATAATAATAATAATAATAATAATAATAACAATACAACTGATATGGCCATGAAAGGGCTGATTGGTGTAGCAGATGGCGGGAAAATTGAATGCATGTTTTTGTACAGAAACGCGAGGGCCCTGAAGTCCTACTACGCATACCTATGTGCTTTAATCAAAGCAACAGCAGCGGTGAGGACGGTTTAGTGTAGGGTAGTAAGTGCGATATAGGTACACGTGTAACTCGGGCGGGGAGGGGTAGGAAACCACATCAGCTGCCACATGCTGTAGCGTAAAGCTCTGCCGGGTCATTACTGAGTATAAGTCACTGCGGGACTGTGGAATATATGTATATGTATACACCATAAATATCTACTTACGTTGTATTGTACACGCTCTGGAAACACGTTTGCATCGGGAAAGGTCGTCCGTATGTATCAGGTATACCTGCACCTTCGTCTGTACAATATCGCGCTGTAGCCCATTCTTCCCCTCGGGCTTCTGCATAAGCGTCGATCCTCCCCCGCGAGTTTGCGAGTACGCTAATTCAACGTAGGTATCCCCTTTGCTGCCTCCTATGTCTTGTACAAACATACACGCGTTGCGTACACACGATTATATTGTATATGCAGGAGTTGTCGAAAAAGATCTGCTCTGCAGTGTCTCTTGCGTCGTCGTTGACTAAATCAATAAAAAAAAACATGTTTATAAAATATTATTAAAAAAATTTTTTTTTCAATTTTCCATCACTCATTCGCTCGCACAGTTTGCAGAATCGCTCATCCCTCGCCATCTCACAAACTGATCTAACAACATATTACTATTATTATTATTATTATTATCATCATCATAATCACGTATACGTGTACTCTACATGTACCTTTATTATATGCAGGTATAAATTTACCACAGTCACGCTTATCGTACCAGTTCATTATCTTAGATCTGATAATTTTTCATAATTTTAAATCCGACCATACCAATATCTGTCTCTCTTTGTATTATATCATAAACGTAACAATCATAAGCAGCTCGATAAGCAGTGTATTATATGTAACAATGTATATATACATACTAGTGCGCGTACCTACACAATGACAGTGTATCATATACAAGTTTATATTTATATTTTATCTATACGTAGTATATAATATTATATGTACATACGGTGAGTCGAATTGATGCTTCTCCTCTAATCGTCGTCTTGATGCGTAACCCTATTAAGTACCTATGGGCATAAATCCGTGTGTTTATAGCGGCGACAGTCATTGTGGCCCCTTCATCTGAGCAATAGCTGAAGAAGCGTCAGCAGAAGTATCGAGAGGCCGCTCGACCGTAAGAGTCCCAGGCTCGCGGTCGTGCCTGCGTCACCGTGTTGCATGGCTGCCGGTTGTTCCCCTACAACAATAAAAAAAACACAACAATAATCATGCATCCACGACACGAAATAAAAGTACTTATAATACGAACACCACGAGCGAACGTTATCTCGGCTGCTCCCTCCCCTATAGTATGTATTTCAATGTAAACCAACGTTTATTGGAAGTGCAAAAAAGTTTAGTTTTTTTTTCTAAATTTTCTAAATATGCAATAAGTAGTGTCGATTTGAATTTTAAGTATAACCTGCAAATACATCCGACATATCCTATCTACCCAGCATATTGTTAATCTGGATACTATGAGGAAAAAACAAGGGTTGTTGGAGTGACAAAAATTGCCAATCACAGATTTAATTTTAATGATTTCACTCTATTCAAATCTTGCAGTGCCAATCGTCGAAGAAGAAAAAACAAATAAAGTTGATGTAAAAAATAAATAAAATAACAAAAAAACACGAAAAATACAAACGCACATACTTGATAACTGCACACAATAAATTACAGTCTCATCTTTTTCTTCTACTCTCGACTTTTGTTGCATGATATATAATATACGTATGTACATGTTATATTATTATATGCGAAATAATTTGTCAATTCGAGCTACAAATGTATCTGTACTATAATATATGCACATCTGTAACTATATATTCAANCATAATACATACAGCATGACGTAGATTATTATATATATATATATAATACGGAAAACGTTATCAGTCGCTAGCACCTTTTTGCCCACTCCATGAAATAACAGCGGCAGCAGCAGGGAGTAGGTATAATAGCGCCGTCAAAGACTTGCCGTAGCCACGCCTTCCGCTCGTGCGGCGAAGGGAAGGAAAGGCGTCGAAGAATTAATTAAAGCGCCGGTGAGGTTGGCGAGGAAAAAAAAAAAAAAAAAAAAATAGCAACAAAAAAAAAAGAGGGAAAAGAGGGAATAAAAGACCGGCGAAGCACTAACAGAAAAGAAAAATTAATCTCATTAGGAGTCGCGTGATTGATTCAACTGATTTTTCGTTTTTCGCGTGCAAACTCGGCTCCATAGCTATCACAGGCACCGCTCGATTGCGAGCTTGGAAGCGTATGAGTATAAGGGGAACAAAAAAGGCAAAGAAAAAAGCTCGTTGGGGGTATCGGCAAACGGTACCTATACATGATTAAAGAATTAAAGAAATTACAGGCAACGTTCCACACCTATACACACTAACGCTCCTTCCTTTTTTTTTGGTGGGGGTGGGGGCTCGAAAATCCGATACGAGCTGGCAATTACACGAGAGGCGGCGAAATGCGCACTTGGGCAGCCAGCCAGAGCCGATTTCTCGCGCTCAGTACACTTGGAGATACAGGTATAGGCCATCAGGGGCAACGGAGCAAAGAGCTGGGACCGGAAAACGAAACGCCAACGTCAAATCTTTCAAGCCTTCCGTCTACCGTGCCAGAGCGGAATATAATAATAATAATAATAATATATATACACGTGTAGTGATGATGCGTGGGAGAATTTTACGCCTCGCCAAAGTGCTACAGTGATACAGGTAGCTATACTTATTAAATGTGGTACTTTGTACGAAGTAGAGCAAAGAGATGAAATTAATATATATATATATGTGTGTGTGTGTGTGCTTTGGCCCACGTGTATGGAAAGATCCGAGCCCCCGTCTGATTGGGATGTTCAAGTTTATAATACATATACAATGAACTTATTGACATTACCAAATCGTCTGTGTGTGTGTGTGTGTGTGTGTGTGTATCTGTGTGTAGAATCGTGCAGCGTGAAAAGAATGAATACGTATACCTAAATGCTACGGCGTTGCTGATTTTCAAACGAGTTATTGTGCCTCTCTGGCCGGCCGTACCATAATTACCAATCATATCCAATGTTCCGACAAACTATTTTTTACGAATTGAGAAAGGGAGGAGGGAAGAGATATGTACCCATACAGAGGTAGAGAAAAAAAAAAACTTACCGACGAGTAAGGTATATACATATAATTATCAAGCGAGTGGAGCTAGCTAAAACGCTGTACTTGCCGTACTCAACTAGGTAGGTATTATGCATACTCGTGTAGATAGAGAACAACTGAACTACCAACCGACAACCTAAAGAGCGTCATTCAGAGTGGATGTACAGTCGCATTCACATGCTCTTGCCATCGGGATAGGCGTGCTGGTAATTATACGATACATATTGGATGTTGATAATAATGCGACATCCCGATTTTATGTGTATATAATAGGTAATGGTAAACATCGAATTATTTTCAACATCCAATATGTATCGTAAAATTACAAAAGTACATAATATACCCTGTGTGTACCTGCACATGGCCAATATAGAGGGCCAACAATTGTGCTTGAATTATACGAAATGATTAGGATAAGCCAACAATTTTCCTCGCCAGCAATCTTGGGTACATGAGAATTATTCTTATTGCGGTAGCGTACGCGCGATTCGTGCATACATATACCTATATCGTTGAACAAACACGTATATAAGTATATTATAGGTACCTATACCTTATGAGTGGGATTGGCCAAGTACCATCAGCTGTACGTCAAGTATATATATGATTATTATTATTATTATCATCATCATCATGTATCGTTGAGTAGGTAGTCGGGGGATGAAAGATTTGTTGTACTTAATTTTATTGAATTAAATTAGCCACTGCGTGGTCCCTGCACCTTATTGTTGTCGCACGCAAGGAACAAGGAACAAAATAGGTACACGAATAACACGTGATGGAGGTAAGAGGCGTGCAGGTTACACCTGGAACAGGTCGGTGCAATTAAATGATTCGGATCACTCGTTGGCATGTCCATAATTATATACTTGTACGGTTATAAGCGGTTATAAGCTGTATAGGTATAGCCCGTTAACCTATTATTATTATTATTATTATTATTATTATTATTATGTGCAAGCCTTGGTGTGAAAGTATACACGCGCGATCGACTTACCGTTGAGCACGTGGACGTAGGCGGTAGCGCGGGCAGCCTTGCTCGATACGCAGCTGTAGTTGCCGCTGTCGCCGAGGGACGCTCGGGTTATCATGAGCTTGCTCACGGTGCCGCCTTTGGACTTTTCCGTCTCGAGTGATACGCCACCCCTGAAAAACATTGCAAGACGATAAGTTGTTGCTACATATCGACACCTCGGACGCAGAAAGCGCTTTGCCCCCCACCCCCTCACACCCAAAAACAAAGTTCCTATAGTGGCAATAATTATACTCAGCTGTGTTTGTTTTTAATGTTACTTATTGTATGGTAAGCATCGCAATACTAAACAAAGGACTTGAATATTCCGAATATGACTACAGCAGTTTTCGACAATTTCGCATCGTATACCTACTACGACAAATTTATTTATGATTTATCTCTGTGATCGATATGATGATCAAAAACCTCTGTCTTATCCATTTTTGTTTTCTTACAAAATAAAACAGACAGTATTTCTGTAATATGCACCGATTAAGGGGGAAAAAAAAATCCTTCGAACTAGCGCTTTTTTAAAGGCAATGTAACTAGTTTGGGGTTCATTTGTTCAAGGTGATCATGTATTTGAAGCTTTTGTCTACAATTGTTACACGTATTTGGCAAGTAGGTACAATTAATCTTACGTCCCTTAAATATAAATATATCGATGGGCATGCGTCAATGTAACACTGGACATTTGTTTAATATAAGTATAATAATAGCCGCCGCTCTTTGCTTTGGAAAAGTTCATAATTATATAGTCATAAGTTCGCCTATTCTTTCAATATATAGGATATATATATATATATATATATATATATATATTGCATAATACATACAGCATGACGTAGATTATTATCCTTGAGGGGGTTCAGTTAATAGCGCGCGGCTTGTGTAACCTTTGATTTATTGCCGGCAGTAGGTACGATATAATATACACCCGATGCCTATAGGTTCTAGACACCCGTACCTACCTACGGAGAAAAGCCCCTTTGCTTTACGCCCCATTTGGTCTCTAATAATTCTTTGATTAATTACGGGCCTTTCACGTCCAACTCGTTAACTCTCTCTGCTACTTATTGCACTGCACTGCTGTCCGACCGACTTTACCGTAAAAATTTCGCCTAGTACAAGTACCTTTCGTCCTCCATGAATGTAGGTTTGTTCAAAACCCCCCTTTCGTTTGGTCCCAGTTCTTCACTGTATGGGTACTTATATTTTTTCCCACGAAATTAAACAGAACCTAGTTCTGCTCTATATACGTATATTTTGTGGAAGAAAAGTATATACGTATAGTGCAGAAACGGGACCGAACCAAAGGGTATATCCGATACCGGGATATCGCCAATAGCGTTCATCGTTGAACCGCACATCATTCTCGTCATTAGAGCTTTTGCGGAGATTCTTATTGTGCGACAATGATTGAGACGAAGGAGAACAAAACTATCAAATTATTATAATTGCCCATGGTACTCGTATTTTTTTATTATTCAGTATTGTTTAATTGTTTTCGCTACATCCATTAGAGGGAGCTTGGGCGTCGAGGCCGCGAAAAGCACTAACGGCGTATACATATAATTTACATTTTATTTGAATAATACGCGCATATCTATGCAAAGACGTTCAACGGTGTCATAAAAATTCGAGGAGGTGTCGTTTACATTCAACGTTTTTACGCTCAAGGCAGACATAATCGAGACGCGTAAGAGCTGAGAGGTGGGTTGGAGGGGGGGGGGGGTAAGTATAGGCAAGTACCTACTTGTTTTATTGATATTAAAATTGAAAAGTTATCCAATACCTATAGGCGCCCCTATGTATAACATACCTTACATGTTATTGAAAATCAAACCAGCAAGTGGATTTTTTTCAAATGGTTGTGTTTTAAGTATGGATTTGATCAAAACTTGCTCATTTAAATCATGCATATTCAAACTTGGTACGAGCGCGCAATGGCTTCTCTTTTCTCCTTTCTTTTTTTTTTTTTTTTTTCTCTCTCTTTTAAGTACTTGGTAAACATGTTGCACTCGTGTCGTTTAATGAGGAGAGAAAAAAACACGACCAAGCAAACTCACCACTCTTAGTATCAGTGCACCCCTTGTAATTCATGTTACAAAAGCAGCTAAAATATAAGCAAGAGGGAAGAATCCAGCAAAGAATGGATATTACATTAGTTTGTAAAAACGACTCTCTCTGTTACGGGGACTGAGAACAACATCAACGTATTTATGAGTGATAGGGGTGTCATAGCTGCTGCTTTTGGTTGGTTAAAAAAATGAATCATACACTTGATCCGACTTTATCGGTGACTGCAGTATTATAAATAAGTAGTAGGTATAAATGACCTTTTTTTGAAAGTTGACGGAGGATTCGTAATTTTCCCAGAGGGGAGCAATAATAATATTGTATAGGCATTTCATCCTCTTTTCTTCGGATCCCTGAGTTGATCTGCTTATCCGAAATAACACCCTTGAGGCGCAACAAATCGTACAAGTATAACCATAGTATTATACGAGTAATATGAAGAACCGGTAATGGTAGTCGAGATAATTATTTGTGGCGCATGGATATATACATATATATATATGGTACGTACCTTGGGCCGTCAAAGTCGATGACCGTGCCGGCGTGGTACCAAGTCACGTTGCTCGGCGGCACGCCCTGCGAGTTGACCGTGCAGGTCAAGCTGATCGTGCTGCCCTTCATCACGTGCACCTCCTCTTGGCCCAAGATCTCCACTTTCACGTCTGCAAACAACTCGTGTCTACGTATACTCTCTACCTCTCTCTATTTGCTTTTCCTATCGTAACACTATATTCTGGTGCAGGATATACTTAACGCATTACAGATCAGGAATGGACGGGAGCACCGGTAAGCAGCCAAGAAAAATAAGTATCCTCGGGCGTTTGGAATACTTTTTTTTNGGTAGGTTTGATTAAATGACAAAATTTTAATCAAGCCAGCTTTGTCCAATTTTTATGCTCGCGTATGCCGCCTTTACTATTATTACTCATATTATAATTCCTGTAGGGAATTTTTTTTTTTTTTTTTTTTTTTTTTTTTTTTTTCCCAGTTAGTTTTTTTGTATACGGGTTTTCTTTTTTTCCGTAGGTATATCGAGCTGCCGAGCAAAAAGTAATTCTATATAGCAGCCGAGAGGCTCGATCGATTCGTATACGGACACCCGAGATGCGGAGGGAAAAAAGTTGTCGATGCAGAGGTCCAAAAAGAAAATGAAAAAATAAATACAGAGCGGGAGGGAGAAATTCAGCGACACCAAAGAAATGAAAAATCCAACCTAGAACCCGAAGATTGTGCGCCAGGTGTATTTTCGGCTCGGTGTTGACTTGGCACTCGTAGATACCCTCGTCCCTTGGCTGCACCAAATCTATTCTTAGATTCCAATCGTCCGGGGCTTCGGCGTTGTAGATAACGGTGAACCTCGCGTCGCTCGTGTACGTGTGGGCCATAGACGTCAAGATATGCAAATCCCTCTTTCTTATCCAGGAGACCTGCAACAGAGATAGATAGATGGACGTAATACTTCTCCTCCGTATATCTTTCCCGTGAATTCCAAATTCATCGACTGGACGTCCATTGTGTATATAACGAGCTTATCTGGGCAGAGCGTGCATGTGTACATACGGAGGGAGAGGAGTGCGCTGCATCTTCTTTGCGGCCCATCCTTACGGCTAATTTAATGCGACCGGCGTCCCCTCCCGAGCCCTGCGATAATTTTCTTATCTGCTAACGAGCATCTCGATCCGGGGCGCGCCCGTAAGATACCAAGCGCAAGAAATCTCCGTTGTCTACTCCTCCCCCATTTTCCAACCCTCCCGGACCTCTTTAGCGTAAACCCGTCGATCCCTTGCCCGGCCCTGAAATACCGCCAAGTGCTTTTTCTCATCCCCAAATAACAGGTATAGTCTCATGTAGGGAATGTCTTTTTTTTTTTTTTTTTTTTTTTTTCTTCTCCCCCTCTCTCATTGCTTTTCTTGATCCATCAATTTCGTACGAGACGCGAAAATGATTCAATTTTTTTTTGCGAGTTAAAATGATGTGACAACACGTTTGCCAACGTCGGTCTACCTCTTTCCCAGCTGTTAAGTAGATTTCAATTTGCTTCCAACATTTGCATTAATTGCGATGCGTAGCTCTTCTCTCTCCCTACTTAAATAATCCACTGTCTTTCCAATAAGGCTAATAAATGCAGAGTTTAACTCCATTTTGTCACTTTGACTCTTCATTTCAATATATAACAGACCGCCTTCTCTACACGCATATTTTACTCATATATTGTTTGTTTTATCTTGCCTCCTTATCCCTCCACTGCTGTTTTGTCTCTAAGTATCGCTTTTTTTTTTTTTTTTTTTTTTCTCTCTCTTTTAAGTNTCGCGAGCAATCCGCGTAGTATATATTATATAAACAGCATCCATCCCCGTGCAAAATCTCTCCCCCTCTGCGTGTGCGTGTTGAAAGCATTCATCACCCAGCAAAAGGGGGTATGGTGTCGGTAGGTGGGTTGTTGTTGGGTATACACACGCCCTTGGGTCCAATAATAAATTTACCGAGGATTGTCACTTGTCAATTAGTTACTGCAGCAGCTCTTATCCCTGCGATCTACCGTCACTGATATAGGTATACATTTGAGCTCACACACACATATAAAAATAGCATCCCTCACCCCCTATATATATATGTATACTCCTTTCCTCTCCTTTTACCCACCGTCGTGCTCGAGCTCTACTTTCACTCCCTCTTTGTTATTTTATGATATTATATATATCAAGTCAAGAAAAAATAATGAAGCTCGTGTTCTCCGAATAGAAAAAAAAAAAAAAAAAAAAATAAATACACCTGAATTGATAAAGGGAAAAAGTAGATACCTACGTATAAGTACGATGAGAAGGGAAATTTTACCGCATGGTCCAGTCATCTCTGGCCCCTTATCCTATGAATGTATACTTACACGTGTGTGTGTGTACAGACACACGTTTCTCCTTGTTGTACGCGTATAATTATTTTACGGCCGAACGCGTTCTCGGGCGCTCTCAAAGGCAGTTTGGGATTCTTATTAAATTGGAGGGCTAATTAATTTTCGACCAACTTTCATATTCCAACCTCAAAAGAAAATCACGCTCAGGAAATTGAGTTGCCCGCATAAGGTATGAAACTTTCAAGATCCGCAATGTCATGGTGTTCCCCCGACTTTTCTTTCTTTTCTTTTCTTTTCTCCCAATCATCGCTCCAAGTGCATGCCCCAAGAAGGATAATAAAAAAAAGAAGAAGAATTATCATCAAGTATTGGGGAAATAAGAGAGAATATCATGCTGATAATAACAATAATAATAATAATAACGAATAAATAAATAATAAGAATGGTTGGTTGGTATAGACGAGTGTACGAGTGTCGGGTGGATTTGAAGTGCATCGATGTATTTTATACGTTAGTATTTGTAGGGCAAGGGTACACTGGGTGATCATTTAATGGACAATAAAATTATTTGTAATTTCCAAGATGTTCAACATAGAGGTAAACGAACAATGGAGATACGAGAAATTTGTCATCCGGAGTATGCTACGTACGTACAACGGCAAGTAAGGCCGGCGTACGTGAGGTAGCAGTGCTCGTAGACGACATACATTTTTCCTGTACACTCACCGTTCTGTTGCCGAGGTTCCTAACCTTGCAGTGCAAAACGGCCGGCTGGCCAACGAGGACGGTCACGTTCTCCCTGCCCTCGTCGGCGAAATGCGTCCTTCCTGACGTACTCACCACCGTGGTCCTCGCCTGCTGCTGGACCGAGCCGACGGCACTGTCCTCCCTCTTATTTGGAGGGCCGCTCGTTGCTGCGACCCCATCGATCAGCCTGCTGGCTCCTGGGAAAAAATGACCGGGAAATTTCCGGCTTAAGCATATATATATATATATATGTATATACATGGCATACACTGCGAAATTGCAGCTGTCCCAATAACCGTGCTGCAGTGCAGTAGCGATGATACGCTCATAGGTATATGTATATTTGAAACGCAAATTTTTTTTTCACATTGCCCCGGCTCCGCCTATCCATCGACATTCACCTTTATTGTTCAATTATTTACACTTTTATGTAATATTATAGGCACGCGAGATGACGAGTCATTCGTTGGATACGCGCGCGCGTGTGTGTGTGTGTGTGTGTGTGTGTGTGTGTGTGTGTGAATATTATGTAGGTACACGTCGATACTTCTCTCTCTCTCTCTCTCTCTCTCTCTCTCTCTGCCAGCGACACCTGATTAACCCATACTTATTATACCACTACACGTTTACATGCTTTCATTACATATACTTTCGACATAGGTTCGACATCAAAATCTTATTTACGAGATTTCAATTTTCATCGAGCGCTCATTCTGCGTCACTGGTCGTTATAACTTTTACCCCCCCCCCTTCCCTATTCCTCTCCCCTCAATGGATGCAGCCAAAATTGTGTACCACTATAAAGTACAAATTAATTTTCGTAATTAACAGTGCGGCTCCGAATTACCCCGACATCTTTATAAAATGGGGATTAGTACGCGCTCGCTCGAGGAAAGTACTTCTTTTTAATTAGCTGTTTGAGTGCATGCACCGCAGACAATGAAAAAAAAAAAGTTTTCGTCATTAATTAATCATATATTCCGTAACTGTTTGAATAATTGACATATGTCGCTGGATCCAAACGTACACCTATACTATACACGTAGGTTTGATTAAATGACAAAATTTTAATCAAGCCAGCTTTGTCCAATTTTTATGCTCGCGTATGCCGCCTTTACTATTATTACTCATATTATAATTACTATCTTTTTATTTACTTTTTTTTTTTTTGACTGTACAAAAAATACGTTATTATAATATATGCAGATGAAATTGCGCATCTCCCAGCTCAAAATTGATTCCGTTATTTGGCCAAAAGTCCACAGAACGTAAATTTTAACCTGACGCAACTCCGTACGTATCCGTGCGATGCTCCTAGGTATGAAGTATTATGAGCGCATCAGCGGACACTGCGCGGATAACACAATAAAGGTGATTCCCGCGAAAGGACAAATAACCAACAACCCCAATAACCCGTACGCTCATGATCACTCGGTGCACTCACTCGTACAATAATTTTTTTTTTTTTATTCTCGACCAGTGGAATATCGTTAGTCTCGTCAGAGTTTAACGAATGCTTTTGTTCTTATTGACAAGCATGTACGCGCGTGCCGTCCATAAAAGTAAGCCCTAGTCTGGTAATAATTGCCGCTTATTTCTATTAAAACAATCTTTCCTTTTCTCCTTTTTCTATTCACTCCTCGGTATATCATATACGTATTACATATTATACTCTCTCTCTGTTGATTTCTATATTTGTATTTCGCGTACATCGATAATCTTTTACGTTTATATGCACGGTTATTCAGCCGAGCAGTAATGAATCGTGTACAAATTGCACGGATAAATCGCTCGATGGACTTTGAAATACTTTGCTTGTGAATATTCATGGCGGTGGTGGTGTGGTAGTGGCGCGAGCGGATGATAATATACCATCACACGGGTATTCAATGTGTGTTGTGTGATAAAGGCCGGTGTCTATTCGTTTTGAATAACGGCAATAACCCGTCGTCGTGGCTGGAGGTGGTATTAAATTCTCTTTTCGTTTTCGCAAATGAACGTGAGGAAAAAAAAGAAAAGAAAAACCCTCAAGTGAGTGCGTTTATGGCGGGGGTCATCATCGTGACTCTAGCGCGAGGCAAGGGTAAAATAATAAATCTGGCCTAGCGACGAAGGAACAAAAAACAAAGAGGCGATAAGAGTACTGGGACGCGAAAATCGGGCCTCTGCAGCTGCGTGGACGGATGTTATGTAATACCTATATGTATATAATATGATATAATATAATGTTTTTCCAGCGCGATCCCGAAAGTCAGCAGTGCCAGTGCTGCCTCATTAAGCCGTCAACAACCGGTAACACTGTTGGTCGCTGTTGTTTTTCCTCCTCCTGGCAGGCATCACTTTCTCGCGAGCAATCCGCGTAGTATATATTATATAAACAGCATCCATCCCCGTGCAAAATCTCTCCCCCTCTGCGTGTGCGTGTTGAAAGCATTCATCACCCAGCAAAAGGGGGTATGGTGTCGGTAGGTGGGTTGTTGTTGGGTATACACACGCCCTTGGGTCCAATAATAAATTTACCGAGGATTGTCACTTGTCAATTAGTTACTGCAGCAGCTCTTATCCCTGCGATCTACCGTCACTGATATAGGTATACATTTGAGCTCACACACACATATAAAAATAGCATCCCTCACCCCCTATATATATATGTATACTCCTTTCCTCTCCTTTTACCCACCGTCGTGCTCGAGCTCTACTTTCACTCCCTCTTTGTTATTTTATGATATTATATATATCAAGTCAAGAAAAAATAATGAAGCTCGTGTTCTCCGAATAGAAAAAAAAAAAAAAAAAAAAAAATAAATACACCTGAATTGATAAAGGGAAAAAGTAGATACCTACGTATAAGTACGATGAGAAGGGAAATTTTACCGCATGGTCCAGTCATCTCTGGCCCCTTATCCTATGAATGTATACTTACACGTGTGTGTGTGTACAGACACACGTTTCTCCTTGTTGTACGCGTATAATTATTTTACGGCCGAACGCGTTCTCGGGCGCTCTCAAAGGCAGTTTGGGATTCTTATTAAATTGGAGGGCTAATTAATTTTCGACCAACTTTCATATTCCAACCTCAAAAGAAAATCACGCTCAGGAAATTGAGTTGCCCGCATAAGGTATGAAACTTTCAAGATCCGCAATGTCATGGTGTTCCCCCGACTTTTCTTTCTTTTCTTTTCTTTTCTCCCAATCATCGCTCCAAGTGCATGCCCCAAGAAGGATAATAAAAAAAAGAAGAAGAATTATCATCAAGTATTGGGGAAATAAGAGAGAATATCATGCTGATAATAACAATAATAATAATAATAACGAATAAATAAATAATAAGAATGGTTGGTTGGTATAGACGAGTGTACGAGTGTCGGGTGGATTTGAAGTGCATCGATGTATTTTATACGTTAGTATTTGTAGGGCAAGGGTACACTGGGTGATCATTTAATGGACAATAAAATTATTTGTAATTTCCAAGATGTTCAACATAGAGGTAAACGAACAATGGAGATACGAGAAATTTGTCATCCGGAGTATGCTACGTACGTACAACGGCAAGTAAGGCCGGCGTACGTGAGGTAGCAGTGCTCGTAGACGACATACATTTTTCCTGTACACTCACCGTTCTGTTGCCGAGGTTCCTAACCTTGCAGTGCAAAACGGCCGGCTGGCCAACGAGGACGGTCACGTTCTCCCTGCCCTCGTCGGCGAAATGCGTCCTTCCTGACGTACTCACCACCGTGGTCCTCGCCTGCTGCTGGACCGAGCCGACGGCACTGTCCTCCCTCTTATTTGGAGGGCCGCTCGTTGCTGCGACCCCATCGATCAGCCTGCTGGCTCCTGGGAAAAAATGACCGGGAAATTTCCGGCTTAAGCATATATATATATATATATGTATATACATGGCATACACTGCGAAATTGCAGCTGTCCCAATAACCGTGCTGCAGTGCAGTAGCGATGATACGCTCATAGGTATATGTATATTTGAAACGCAAATTTTTTTTTCACATTGCCCCGGCTCCGCCTATCCATCGACATTCACCTTTATTGTTCAATTATTTACACTTTTATGTAATATTATAGGCACGCGAGATGACGAGTCATTCGTTGGATACGCGCGCGCGTGTGTGTGTGTGTGTGTGTGTGTGTGTGTGTGTGTGTGAATATTATGTAGGTACACGTCGATACTTCTCTCTCTCTCTCTCTCTCTCTCTCTCTCTCTGCCAGCGACACCTGATTAACCCATACTTATTATACCACTACACGTTTACATGCTTTCATTACATATACTTTCGACATAGGTTCGACATCAAAATCTTATTTACGAGATTTCAATTTTCATCGAGCGCTCATTCTGCGTCACTGGTCGTTATAACTTTTACCCCCCCCCCTTCCCTATTCCTCTCCCCTCAATGGATGCAGCCAAAATTGTGTACCACTATAAAGTACAAATTAATTTTCGTAATTAACAGTGCGGCTCCGAATTACCCCGACATCTTTATAAAATGGGGATTAGTACGCGCTCGCTCGAGGAAAGTACTTCTTTTTAATTAGCTGTTTGAGTGCATGCACCGCAGACAATGAAAAAAAAAAAGTTTTCGTCATTAATTAATCATATATTCCGTAACTGTTTGAATAATTGACATATGTCGCTGGATCCAAACGTACACCTATACTATACACGTAGGTTTGATTAAATGACAAAATTTTAATCAAGCCAGCTTTGTCCAATTTTTATGCTCGCGTATGCCGCCTTTACTATTATTACTCATATTATAATTACTATCTTTTTATTTACTTTTTTTTTTTTTGACTGTACAAAAAATACGTTATTATAATATATGCAGATGAAATTGCGCATCTCCCAGCTCAAAATTGATTCCGTTATTTGGCCAAAAGTCCACAGAACGTAAATTTTAACCTGACGCAACTCCGTACGTATCCGTGCGATGCTCCTAGGTATGAAGTATTATGAGCGCATCAGCGGACACTGCGCGGATAACACAATAAAGGTGATTCCCGCGAAAGGACAAATAACCAACAACCCCAATAACCCGTACGCTCATGATCACTCGGTGCACTCACTCGTACAATAATTTTTTTTTTTTTATTCTCGACCAGTGGAATATCGTTAGTCTCGTCAGAGTTTAACGAATGCTTTTGTTCTTATTGACAAGCATGTACGCGCGTGCCGTCCATAAAAGTAAGCCCTAGTCTGGTAATAATTGCCGCTTATTTCTATTAAAACAATCTTTCCTTTTCTCCTTTTTCTATTCACTCCTCGGTATATCATATACGTATTACATATTATACTCTCTCTCTGTTGATTTCTATATTTGTATTTCGCGTACATCGATAATCTTTTACGTTTATATGCACGGTTATTCAGCCGAGCAGTAATGAATCGTGTACAAATTGCACGGATAAATCGCTCGATGGACTTTGAAATACTTTGCTTGTGAATATTCATGGCGGTGGTGGTGTGGTAGTGGCGCGAGCGGATGATAATATACCATCACACGGGTATTCAATGTGTGTTGTGTGATAAAGGCCGGTGTCTATTCGTTTTGAATAACGGCAATAACCCGTCGTCGTGGCTGGAGGTGGTATTAAATTCTCTTTTCGTTTTCGCAAATGAACGTGAGGAAAAAAAAGAAAAGAAAAACCCTCAAGTGAGTGCGTTTATGGCGGGGGTCATCATCGTGACTCTAGCGCGAGGCAAGGGTAAAATAATAAATCTGGCCTAGCGACGAAGGAACAAAAAACAAAGAGGCGATAAGAGTACTGGGACGCGAAAATCGGGCCTCTGCAGCTGCGTGGACGGATGTTATGTAATACCTATATGTATATAATATGATATAATATAATGTTTTTCCAGCGCGATCCCGAAAGTCAGCAGTGCCAGTGCTGCCTCATTAAGCCGTCAACAACCGGTAACACTGTTGGTCGCTGTTGTTTTTCCTCCTCCTGGCAGGCATCACTTTCTCGCGAGCAATCCGCGTAGTATATATTATATAAACAGCATCCATCCCCGTGCAAAATCTCTCCCCCTCTGCGTGTGCGTGTTGAAAGCATTCATCACCCAGCAAAAGGGGGTATGGTGTCGGTAGGTGGGTTGTTGTTGGGTATACACACGCCCTTGGGTCCAATAATAAATTTACCGAGGATTGTCACTTGTCAATTAGTTACTGCAGCAGCTCTTATCCCTGCGATCTACCGTCACTGATATAGGTATACATTTGAGCTCACACACACATATAAAAATAGCATCCCTCACCCCCTATATATATATGTATACTCCTTTCCTCTCCTTTTACCCACCGTCGTGCTCGAGCTCTACTTTCACTCCCTCTTTGTTATTTTATGATATTATATATATATATATAACATGTATATCATTTTAGTACTATGGTTAAATGCTCTTGACCACTTGAAACCCGTACATCCATTAAATGGATAATAATTGTGTGTGCATTATAAATATCCCATATGGGGGTTTCCATGTCATTCGCCTCATTCGCGAATATTGGGTTATATAAACGTGAAGCAGTGATTGCGTAAACTCGGAGCAAACGGGGGGCGCGGCCATTCGTCCGGATTTTTTATTATTTTCATTTCATGAGCGATGTATGTGAATACGTAGGGGTTGGTTGGCCGCGGCTGCGACGATTGGCCTCATCCGACGGCGGCGGATCCAGGGCTTTTCGAAACGCGCGACCGGAATATTAATTCCTTGCCCGCGGAACAGAGGCAGGTATACCTGCTGCCGTAGCCGGCTCGGGCTTGGGATCGGGACTTGATTTTACGCCCCCGCTTCGTACGTGCCGTGAAATAAGCGTGGTATTAAAAGGACTTTTTTTTTTTCTTTTTCTTTTCTTCTCTCACGTGGCCAAACGGCTAATTTACGACGAGCATGGATTTTAGGCTTGCCGGATTCAATGTCCCTTTATCTTCCTTCCTCTTATTTCATCGACAGGATTATAAGGTGTCCGAGAAGCCGGCTTTACTTTGACCCTTTGCTGCTGCTGCTGCTGCTTCTCTGCTATATTTTACAGTGAGCTACACTCACACCCCAATGTAGACAATGCGGATGCGTTTTAAGAAAAAGTTGAGCAATACTTTGAGGCGTCCGTATTAGGCACACGTATGCGGTGTACGAAAAGAGAGAGGAGAAAAGTGATATTTATACATTATATATATAGCAAAAAAAATTAATAAACAAGAATCGCATAATGCAAGTAATCTGGGGGGGAAGCACATTCATACCCCCATAAGTAAAGACAAAACCTGGAAAAACGAAAATGGTATTGTCCCGCGTGAGGTTTGACGTATACGGATGAAGCGAATGTATATACAGTATAATACGAGGTATATATGTCATAACACGTGATGTGTATAACAAAGTCGGGGGGAAAAGGGAGAAACGCGGTCCCACTCGTCAGTTGAAAGAACCGTTGTGTCGGGGTACATCTTCACATTTTGTAGAAATATTTTACCTCCCCCCCCCCCTTAATTTGCTGTCGTTGTTGAATTAGAATTGATGATGAAATTATGGTATATACATACACACACGAATAAAACAGCCCTCTTACAATGAACATTAAGTATATGACGTATACTTACCCAACTCGATTGGGATTTTTCAGCCTGAGCGAAGATCACGGGGGCGCGATAAATTTAGCCCCTACGCCCCCCCCCCCCACCAAAAAAAAGAGTCTGTGTGCTCCTACTATACTGCGGGCTGGCTGATTAATTATTCGGGCTTGTTTCGGCTCGTTTCTTCTTACGGGTAGGTGTACCGAGGGGGGAACATGTACATTGTAATTTTATGCTTACTTCAAATTGGACGACATCTAATGAATCGTTTCGATTCGTCCGTATCAATTTGAATCAT